TCTGTGTGTGTGTGTGTGTGTGTGTGTGTGTGTGTGTGTGTGTGTGAGAGAGAGAGAGAGAGAGAGAGAGAGAGAGAGAGAGAGAGGTGCAGTCACGCACTCGTTCGCAAATGATGTCCCTAGGCACGCATAATTCGAGTTTCCATTTCTTGAAACGGACGAACAATTCTTTTTGGAAATCCCCACGGTCCTCCCCAGGAAAGAAAAACGTGTCGAGAGTCGCTGCTACCGATCAAAAACAGCTTCTGAGAACTCCCAGGTAACCCATGCTCGCCGCACTCGGACTTACCTCGCCCTCTACCAGCCTGCTCGGATTTACCTCCCCCTTTACCTTCCCCTCTACCGCCCCGCCCCCGGCCCCCCAAAATGAACAAAAGAAAGGAGGGTACAGACTAGTACTTACTCTCTGCTCTCATGAAGGATACTATCACTTCTCCTTCAGATTTCTTCACCCGGTTCCCCACATTGACCACACACAGAATGAGTATTATCCATCGAAAATAATAATCCGATCCGTAAAATTTAATCCGGCGAATGCATCGCCTCCTCCTTTCCACTCCCGCGAGTCTCAGAGTAGTAACTCTGTCCTGCGGAGGCTACTTTTCTTTGCTCCTTTCTCTTTTTTCCCTTCTTTCCCCCCCCCCCCCCCCCCCCCCCCCCCCCCCTTCTCCTTCCTAGGCCAGCGGATTACAGGAGTCGTCCATGACTGGTGCTATGGAGGTGAGAGACGAAAAGGGTACACACTACTACACAGTACATACTCTCTGCTACCTTGTGGCCAATCCATTGCCTGTGATATCTTCAGCAGCCTTCTTGCTTGATGTTGCTGAACGGCAGGGGAGAGTCCGACGACCGAGACGACGATGATCGCGACGGTCACCTCGGTGTTTGAGCTCACGACCATCGTCTCTGTCCGATTGCGACGTCAACAACTATCTGCAGCAGCAGCCATCTTCATCCGCAGTCATGTTCAGCAGCAGCCATCTTCAGCAGTTGATTTGACCAAGGGTGGAAATTTGAACCTTGTGAAAATTATTAATTTTGCAAATTGAAGGGGTCCGCAATGGAAACGGGACATCTCACCCAAAACTTAAATCGACAAAATTGAATATGCAATAACTATGCTTAGATTTCATTACACTACAATCGTTTATTTATTTATTTTCATGCTGTACTATCATTTATTTACTTATTTTCATGCCATACTCTCATCTATTTAATTATTTTCACGCTATACTATCATTTATTTATTTGTATGCTTATATACATATATACTTTTTTTTTTAATCAAATACCATTCATTTATTATATCATCTCAAGTTGAGGCGGGGGACCTCACAATTCCACCGGGGGTTATCCCGGCAGCATCAGCCGGTTTCGGTTACAATCAAAAGACTGAGCTTCTGAATTACTTCCTAACTGCTTAGCATCCCGTTCTGGTTCCGTGACCGAACCGGAAAGCTCGGTACCGAGCCCGAACGTGGACCAAAATCGACAGAGCCCGAACATTTTTATTTTTTTATTGTTTTTATTTCTTTTTTAAACATATATAGGGGTTGGGGGACCCCTGGGGCATTGATCATCACTCTTGAACATATACACACACATACACACACAGACACCACACACACGCACACATACACCCCCCCCCCACACCCCATAAACCACACACACATGAGGACGCGTTCGGTAGCCCCCTGATTTGCGCTTGGCCGAGCCTGTTGATTTGCGCTCGGCCGAACACGTTGGGTTCGCGCTCAGCCGAGCCTCCGAACATGTTCGTACGCAGCTTCCTAAGTTCCAAAACAAGAATCCAGGCCTAGATCTACGAACACGTTGGGTTCGCGCTCAGCCGAGCGTCCGAACATGTTCGTACGCAGCTTCCTAAGTTCCAAAACAAGAATCCAGGCCTAGATCTATATATGATTTTCATGAATACTCCATTGACTCTTACTCGTGTCTTCAAATCTCTCCCCCTATTCTACTCCTAGAAGAATACACAGACCCATAAAGGGTCTGAGCTCGGCCTAACTTCGGCCGAGGGGAGACTTATTCCCTTGTTAACCACTGACGCTCTATTCGTGGGGAGCAGCACGTGCTGGTATTATCATCGGACTAACCAGCCCAGGTAAATTCAATCTTGTGTCTAATCTGACAACGGTGGCCTTTTCAGCCCAGGGTGGCCTGATATGCCGGACCGTTTTTTTTTGTTGTTTTTTTTTACAATCAATTCATGACTCCATCTATTCGTGGGGAGCAGCGCGTGCTGGAAAACGGTTCCACCGTTTTGAAGCATAATCCGTAGGGGGAATTGGAGTTTGTGCTGCGCCCACTTCTTCCAGTTCCTTAGGGATGGACCCCACTGGACGGCGGTTGGAAAAGCAGTATGGGCACAAAAAACGGCAGACTGAAAAGGAAAACCCGAATGCGTCCCTCCCGAAAATGGGCACTGGAAACGGCACCACCTCTCCGAAAAGGGAAACCTGAATGCGTCCCTCCTGAATAGGTAAGTTCGGGATCGAAGTGCACACTGCTTTCGCACGTTTAAGCATAGGATGTTTAAGTTGACGCCAACCACCAGCTCTAGAAAATCTTCGAGCGAGACCCTTTGAAATGGCAATTTGGGTAGAAAAGAATCCGTTGGGGTTTTGCTTTTTCTTTCCTTTTCTTTTGTTAAACAATGGCGAGTGTCAGGCCTTGAGTTCGCAAAGAGCAAGAGGCAAGAAAAACACGCACCCGCTAAGATATCAGGGCATGAGTTTGAACCGGCAAATCGAATTTGGGTAGAAAAGAATCCGTTGGGGTTATGTTTTTTTTCTTTCCTTTCCCCGTCTGACAACACGGCCGAACCCTGTACTTATGACACCCCCTGTAGTTATGACACCCGGCCTGACACCAGGGCTATTGGAACTTCCATTTTTTCGAACTGGTGCCTGTTTTCTTTGCCAGTGTGTGTTTTTCTTGCTCACTCAATACTCAAAAGTGACATCAACGTACTTGCTCATTCTTCCTTTTCTTTGGGGGGGTCAGGGGAGGGTGCCGAAAGGGCGGTCTCTACTAGCGGAGGTGATAAGAGTAACCCCACCTACTAGTAGGTACGCGGGGTGGCTCCATCTATTTGTGAGTGCTGCCTTGTTGCTCTTCCGGTTGCCTTTTGTGTTTGCCTTGTCGGTACTGCCCCACTGCTGCCCATCTGCTTTGCCCCTCCCTACCACTTGCTGCCTCACCTCTTTGTTGCCTTGCTGCCTTGTTGCCTCACTGCCTCACTGGCTCACTGCCTCGTTGCCTCGGTGCTTTACTGATTCATTGTCTGGCTGTCTGTTGCTTCGCTGCTTTGTTGCCTTGCAGACTGTTTCGTCGCCTTCGTACCCTGTTGCCTGCAGCTCATTGTGCCACTCTGCCGCTTACCTCGTCATGCCCACATGCCCCCCACCATGCCCTCCAGCCTATGTGCTTTGCTGTTGCTTGCCGTCCGGCGTCTGGTGACTTGTTGCTTGTGATGTCACCCTTGTCCATCCACTTACAACTGAGGTTGAAGGAGACCGCAGCACTTGCATTGCAGCGTGCTGCGTTGAGTTCCAAAGAGTGGCAGCACACTGGCATGGAAAATATATCTGCAATTTGTGCATTAACGGTCACCCAAGACAAAATATCAATATGACTCTCGACTCTCGAGGGTTTAGCCTCCTTGTAAGTGGGTGGAAGTCTGACGAAACGGTCTGTTGTGATTCTGGTTCTTTCTCTCAATCTTCGTTTTTTCTCTCTCCTTTCTTTTCTATCTCCAGGTGGTCTCGTTATGATGCTAACTTGGGCGACGTTAATGCATGAATTGCAGATATCTTTTCCATGCCGGTGTGCCACCACTCTTTTCAACTTAAGGCAGCACGCTGCACTGCAAGTGCTGCATTCTGTAGCTTCCCAAGCCCTCACTTAGTCCATCCATTGGCTCTTGATCTTCCCTATGTAACAGTTCTCATAATGTTCTCTTATCTCTATTTCTGTCTCCCTTCTTTGTTCTATTGCTGTCTTGCATGTGCAACCACCACCTTTGAGAGCAGCAACCACCTTCGTGATGTGCCTAAGAGTCAGTTACTCTTCAATAGGACTCCCGTTTAAACTTGCACGACCTGGTAAGTTTACGATGCCTCCGTTCTGGAGGGTAACATACACTCAGTCTGGTCTTGTGGCTCCCTGGCTCTCAAGAAGCCAAGGTCACAGAACCTACAGTCTGCTAAGTTTTCCATACGGTGTGAGATAGGTTATAATCCGGTGTTGCTCCCTGTCAATAGATCGACCTCAGCACCCTGGTAGGCTACCTTAAAGTTTTTGTCGATGTTTGGAAGCACAAGAACAAATAACAGAAAAGGTTATAGTCTGCTCTGATGAGTCTGATCCTTGGTGCATGTGTTAGTTGCTGTCAATGCTGTGTTGATGCTTCTGTGTTGCCTTGTTGCCTGCACTGTTGCCTGCCTTGTTGCTTGCTGCTCAATGCTCATTGTGTTGACTCCCCTCCCATCCATCTGCCTTGCTGCTATTTGACATGTGTCCTGCTTCTTCCCTTGTGGTTTGCCTGCCTGCGTGCACGCATGCCCTCCTGCCTGCCTTTCTGTTTGGCAGTGTTTGCCTGCCCTGCTGCTTCCCTTGCTGCTGCTGCTTTGCTTGTTGCTGCTTGCCTTGCTGTTCGACTGCCCACTTGCTGCTTTGCCCTTTGGTTGCCTTGTTGCTTGTGCCTTCGCCTATGATGATGCATTGATGCCTGCCTTGTTGCCTTTCTGCTCATTATGCTGCTTGACCTCTTCCCTGTCTGCCACACTACTACTTGTCATGTTGCCTTGCTGTTGGCCTCATCTTGCCTTTGCTGTTTGCCTCACGTTGCCTTGCTGCTGGCCTCATCATTTGCCAAGCTGCCTCCCCCTCCCCCCCGCCCTTGGTCCTTGGCAAGTTGGCCCCTTGGCCCCGTGGTGCCCTCTTCCGTGTATGCCCTACTATAGCTTGCTTGTTGCCTTGCTCGCTGCACCTCAGTCTCAGTGGCGGATGAGTAGACGGGTTGAGAGCCTTGACAGTGTGATGCTGAGGTGTTGCTGGGAGGAAGGTGATCTCGCCATGATAATAAAACTCTTTTTTATTATTATTTTTTTCCTTTTCTCAGAAACGCCCCCCTGCAGTGCTAGCGGTGCTGGTAGAAACAGGCACCACTAGCACCCGGGGAGAGGCTCCATCTATTGGTGGGGAGCATCACCTGCTCGAGAACGGGTCCAGCGTCCCGTATACAAAATGAATCAGGAAGATATCAGGAAAAATGACTGAGGAAATGCCTGCTAGCATTGATTACTCTGGCATCCAGAGGATTAACCGTGCAGGTTATTGGGAAAAAGGAGAAAACCTCTTCGCCCTGTACCAGGCGCCAGATACCTGCTGCTGAGAACTAGCCCCTCCCTCCCCCAACTACCCCAGGCTACCCACCCTGTCCCAAAGTCGTCACCACCCCATCCCCCACTTTCAATCCCTGTTCCACTCGATGACCTGGATGATGCCTGCTAGAATCTCAGAGACGCTCCTCCTATCCTGTGACGCTTGAGCTTGATGATTGGTAGCCTTGTGCGGACCTTCCCAACCCCCGGGAGGCACCGGGGGTAGGTCTTTGCACGATGAGCAGCAATGTGATCATTCCAGAACCTCCATCAGGGAGAGGGGATGACGTGGGAAGGGGTCCGGGAAGTCAGACGGGGATCTCATCGGAAAGGACGACTCAATGTTAGTCCAGTCATTGAAGACGAGTCGATATTCCCTGGGGCCCTGGGGGCAGTGGGGGGGCCTTGTCCTGACAAATTAGCCTGATCCCCCCCCCTGTCCTGACGAAATTGCCTGATCTCCCCCCCAATGCAACCCCCCCACACGCTCACCCCACTTTTGCTTTTATGCAACCCCCCTTTTGCTTTTATGCCTTGTTGCTTGCCTCCATGCTCACCCGCCAGCCCACACAGGTGCTGTTTTTCCTCTGTGCCGTGCTGCTGACTGCCTTGCCATTCGGCCAACTGCTTGCCCACTTGAAACAGGATTTGAAGCAGATTATGACACAAATCCCTCAACACATCACGAGCCTAGGCCGACTACCTGAGGGAATATCGACAAATCAGCATCCTGAAGAGTTGGTGGG